GACGACAACTAGTGCATTCGAGGAAATGAGGGTGAGTTTGGAAAGAAATCGCTGAAGTTCTAGTGCCTGGCTGCGGTTTCAGAAAAAGGGAGACACAGGCGGGGGGGCGGGGAGGGCTGGGTCTGCGAAAACGAGGTGGTCACTGCGGTCTCACAATGCTAGTTTGTCGTCGAATGTGACGGCGTTTTGCGGAGATATGCGACCACAATGGAGCTTTTAGATGGGGGCTTAATGAATTGCGGGAAGATAGGGCAGGGTCTCGCTGTAGTAGCCGGGGCGGTTTTTTTGGGTGGGGCTAGTGCATTCTGAAAGCGATAATGAAGGAAGAGTAAGGCCGACGAAGAGAACATTGCGACGAAAAAATCTGCTGAGATGGAGAAAAGAGAGGCAAGAGGACGGAGATGGCAGACATTGGAGCATGCCAATGAATGACCACGCAGCGGTGAGAGACAGCGGAACGCCGTCGGAGCCGAGGGCTTGAAGATTTGGAAGGAGATGACGTAGGAGGAGGCGCATCGAATGGCCTCCGCGAAATTGTTTGCTTAATGCATGTTGCCCTTATCAGCGAACACTTGCTCCCGGGGACGACCGTGTATAAAGATTGGGCGGGATAGGGACACCTGGAGAAGAGGATCTTATTGCCAGATGCTAATTCGGAAGCAATGGACTTATCGCACCTTGCTTCATTTTGAAATGAACTTTTTTCCCCCCCCGTGTCTTTCGTCACAGCATACCACTTTTTTAAAGAGATTGATCACCAGCGACGTCCGACTCGAAAAAGCATCAAACTTTTATCCCCTGACGCTTTTCACACCTTCAAACACCGAAAGGACTCTTAAATAGATCGCACCATCCTTGACTGCAATTCTGTTCCTCTGAACTGGAACCAATCTTCCGGCGTCGGAAACGTGTTCGGGATGCGCCTCTTTACTCTCTTTCCCTAGTCGCCGGACCAACGATTCGCGCAGAGCGTGCACCTGTAAAATGTCGTCATGGGCTCATCTGCGGATCGTATCTGCATTTGCACGAAGAATGCCTCCATGCTATCGCAAAAAGGGCATGCGGTGGTCGTTCGATCGGCTGCCGCCCATGCGTCCTCCCCACCGAGGACATCGTCCACTTCTTTTCGTTTAAGCTTCATCGTTTTGCTAATCTTTTTCGTAATGACTGATATATAGGGGCACGTCTGACAACAAAATCGGAAGTTCTGCTCTCCGAGTTCGACTAGGAGTAGATTGGAACATATAGGACAGAACTTCATGGACTCGAAGGGCTGCAGGGTGTCGAATCGCTCAAAGAAGTCGAAGCCGTCACCGAAAAAATTATACGAAGCTTGATAGAAGAAGAAGAGCAGGTCGAACACTCGAGTGGCAAAGCAGTGGCAGACGTTGGTTATCAAAAGCGCCGCAAGTGCGATACAGGGACTTGAAAGGTAATGTTGGAGATGTCTTAAGATTTAACACCGAGAATCCTCAAGGACACTGCACGCCCACGACACGAGGATGGCAGCATTAAAATCAATGCTACTAACTCTGCATTTCCTCAAAAGAGTCGCACCAAAGAACGTATTTGTAGTAAGTAGGGCCGCTATGAACGTTTACGAAACTGGAAAACAGAGGCAAGCGGTGAGGCGAGGTCGAAGATACGCCTTGGACCGGACCGGCTTTTTTAGACGCTCTGTATCACGAACGGATGAAAAAAATATTTACCAGTATTAGCTGTATGCAACATGCTGTGGCGAATGCCAACGTCAATGTTGAGCTCGCGGTAGACGTCAGATAACGAGCAAGGCAGTGGCAGTGGGTGAAGTCGCTGATTCCCCTCCGCTTGTCCGGGCTCGCCTCGAGCTCTCCCAGGCCCATGGCGACAACTTCATCCTTACGATGGCGTCGTCTCGGCACGGACGGGCGTTCTGCAAGATCAATGCTTCTTCCTGAAATTTTTGCTCGCGACCGTGCCATGTCCAGGGGCCTGACACGCACCGCAAATCTTTATTGCCGTGCAGTCAGAGGCGTGGCAGTGTGACTGCGGGTTTCGACCGCGTCCTCCTAGTCCAACACCGTCCCTCCCGGCTCAGCCTCCAGCCATGTTCTGATCCCCAATTTTTCGCACGCGTACCCATGGACCACAGGTTGCTCTTGGATAAGAGATGCCTTCACGCGCATTGCTTATGCGCAGCTCCATATTATGTATTAATGCCGCGATTGCCTGCCTAGTGACCTCAATTTATGCCCAGCTAGAGCCTCAGTACGTCCCCGCCGCTTCAAGCGAAAGTGTAACATGCTATCCGGCCGATGCTTTGGCTTGGAGGTCAATTCCTGGTAAAATAGTCCTTCACGGTGCACCCTTCGTGAAAACGCACCATAAAAAGGTACCTCCTGCCCAGCCATCGGAGCCTATTGTCACCGACCCTTCAGGAGGCGGAGGTGCTGCTGTTGGAATACGCCCGGGTGGCGGAGTCACGCCCGAGCCGCAGCCAAAGCCCATCAACGGTGTGAAGCCACCTCAGCCTCCTGTGACTGCGCCTCCTGCCCAGGTAGCCCAACCAATCGTTCCCTTCCCAGGAGCAGCCGGCCCGGGGGTCCCCGGACCTCAAGGCGGCGTCCCTGGCGGTGCGGGCCGTCCGCTTCCTAACATGGATCCCTTCAGGCCCCCCGAGCTGAAGCCCGCTGTCCGGCATTTACAGGGACAAGAAGCCGCGAAGGCGGGGGGGGATCAGAAGGTGGCCGGGGCGGTCGTGGGAGGTGTGGCGATAGAGAACGGGTCGGGGACCGCGCGCGAAGAGGACGACTTGGACGAGGAGGACAAGGCGGCGATAGCGCGAGAGTCCATGTATGCCTCCATCCAGCTTAAGGGACTGAACTGGGTGCGTTGGGGAGCTCAAGAAGATAGGGCGAGGGTAGGGGGGTTACAAAAGCGTGATGTAGAAGGTCTCGCGACGCTCACCCTGCCCTTCCCCGTTACACGCGCGCAGTTCGGCCTTGACCGCATCAATATCTTCGAGGGCACGAATTACAAGGTGCGTAGGACGTTGTTGGGCATACATGGGGAGGAGGTGTCCGCAAGAATGCCGCCTTCAGTCCTGTGCCATCTCACCTTCCCGTCCCCGGGCCCCTCCAGACGATCGACCAGGTCATGGCCTTCTTCGTGGCGCACAACATCAACGCGCTCCGGCTTCCCTTCTCTCTTGCTTTTGCGCTCACGCCCATGGACCACGAGGAGGCAGAAGCCGGGGGGGGGCAGGGAGAGCTCCAGTACCCGGATCGGGGGAAGATCTCGCCGGAGTACATCGGGTAAGTATTGGGGAGAAGGGAGGGAGAAATGGCAGGGGCGCATGATAATGTCCACTGAAGAAGTTTGGATAGATCCAATGGCAGTGTGCATTCATGCATATTTCCGCACTCGCTCCAGTCTGACGAGCTGGGAGATCATCGACCTCCTGTTCGAGAAGGCCAAGGAGAACGGGATCCTCATCCTGCTCGACATGCACACCCTCGACCCCGACAAGGGCGTGAGCCGCTTGTGGTACGATCCTTCCAAGTACTCAGAAGCCACGGTC